CATCACAACTTTTTACCAAAAAAAAAAGAAACATCACAACTTATCGGCTTAATAATGCGTATAAACCTTAATTTTTACTGGGGTATGAAATAGCAAAATGAACACATTGAATAAAGCATACCTCAAAGAATTTGGGTACACGCATGATCCATAACCTACACAAAAACAAACCAAACTTAAGCGAATTAAAACCCAAAACAATCATTTGCAAACTCTATTCTTACTGAACCAAACCAAAAAGGTGTGAAGCATAAATAATGGAGATTTTGAAACAAAAATCAACAAACTGAGATTAAATAACATAGATACAACCGGAATTAATTACATAAAAAGCGTACTTGGATCGGTTTTGGCGATGGTGGAGGTGCCGGCAAAGTTACAAGAACCAGGAGCCATGGCTCTACGCTGAAAATAGCTGTTGAAAGCGTAAGATGCGTGAGCCTGAACGGTGTTGGGGAGGAAACAGAGGCCAGTGGGCTGTATTGGAGCACAGTCGGCTCCAGCGGCACATGCGTAGTCTAGAGCCGCCTGAAGCGCCTGGCTCGTAACATCAAACCGGGCAACGCACCACATTGCGGTGGAGGATGGGAGGAGGAGAAAGAGGATGATGGCAAGAGATTGGAGATAGAGAGCCATTGGCAAGCGGTAAGAGAGAGAGAGAGAAGGAGTGAGAGTGAAGAGTTTGAGTGTGGAGCCTTACCAATCTGTTTTGCTTTTGCTTTCGCTTTGTTATTTCTTTTCTTTTATATTCTTTTTGCGTTTCTAGTTCATGAGGTTGAAATTGAGCTTTTGGAATTTTTTTTTTTTAAATAAGGATTTATATACGGACAAGTTGCTACCCGAAATTACGAAACCAGACAATAAGAAGTACGAATTAAAGTGTGTACGAAAGTGAAACGGCAATTTATAAGAAGATGGTTTATTGCATTTATCATGATGTCTTCCATAATATTGCAATTCCATACCTAGATGGATTAGATCGCTTACCTATGGTAACACCGCCTCCCCGCATCATTTGTAGGGTTAACGAGAACTGGATTAGAAACACATGTTCAAATAACAAGACATTTTCCACCGTGTTACTAGTCCCAAGATTGTCAGAAGTGACTTCTTCTTTTATAACACATCAATTCGACTCTATCCACCATTTATACTTACAGTAGTGCAAACAGAGAAATAGAAAAAAAAGGGTATGAATAAATAGATTTCTCAGTGAAACGGTTCTAAATCAATCTCTCTGCATAAGCTTTTATACTACATAGTGCAGAACGAGAACTGATTAACCATTTATAATCAAGAAATCATCAACAATTACATAACCACACACAAATTATAATTGGTATCTAGACCTCTAGACTCATTAGGACTTATCGCATGTGGACTTGTCTCCGTCACGAGCGAACTAATCGTTTTTTTTTCAGCGCTGCTAGTCATACAGCAAATCCATGGCTTCCCCTATGAGGACACGATAAATCTACTTAGTTTCCCATAAAGGCGCCAAATTGATTACACGTTTACACACACACAACCAATTAGGCTAATGTTCACGCTACCACAATCGAACGGTATATCAATTCAGTATTTTAGGATCAAATTCACAAGGAACTAGTGATCTATAATATTAAGAATATACAAACTTTTTTAATCTAAACAAATGGAAAAATGGATTGGTAACAAACTAAGATTCTAGAAATATAAATCAAGGTGATTTCAAATCCAATTAAGAAATAAGTGTAAGAATTAATTTTTCAATCAATAAGAAAATAGGACTCATGGGATTAGGCAACATGTGTGGCAAGCTTGTTTATGATCCAATCTAGAGTGGCAGCTTTCAATCAATATGTTTCCTTAAGTCTAGAACAAAATCCTAAACAATTTCTTTGTCAAAATAAATGTTCATTTTCTTTCAATTATTAAACATCAAATATCTTTAATTTTATTCAAACAAGCAATCATTAAGATCAATTCTACTAACTATTTAAGCTTTCATAACATCAACCGTCTTTGCTTAAGCAAGCAAAGAGAAAAATTGAGTTGGTTCAGACATTTCATCAGACACCTTCTAGGTATGAAATGTCTAGAGCTCTAGTTTAGAGTGATCAAGACTAAACTAGAATTAAGAACACTCTGACAAGTAAAGAAATAGATAGATCTAAATTCTAACCCTAAACACCCTATATATTAACTTAATCACTCTAACCACCTAACCCATGAATCCAAAAAGAGTATACATACTAATCTCCATGAAAAAACTTAGTTCCATATGAGATTCAAGGCTAATGATGTTAATGAGCAAGATAAACACAAAATAAAATGAAGTACTTCCTTAAATTGATAAAAAAGATTTAAGCTTTAACAATATTAGATAAGTTCTTGAGAGAAAAAAAGAGATACCTCTAGCATTTTTGCTTAAAAGAATGTTTATAGGCTACTAAAAACTAATGGGCCAACATAATAAATCTAGGCCTACCAAAATTTAAACCAAAAGTTGATTAAGGTTAAGTTCTGGAGCGGGTTCGTTAAGCCGCTCCATCAAACCGCTCCAATGCTCGTGATCTACCGAGCGATATAGGTAACCAGCTTATACGTCGCTCCAATGCTCGTCGAATGTGCAGTAGTTCTTCCATCTCGCAATGCTCGGTCGCTCTAGCACTTCGGCGTCAATGTGGTTTTTGCTCGAGACATGGAGCGGTCTAGGTCGCTCACTGTGAACGGTTGCTCCAAGATGTCCTATGCTCCCCGCGGTGAGCTCCACCCGCAAGACGGTGCCGCTCTGAACTTGTCACAAATTCGAGCACCGACCCTTCCAAATCACGACTCCAATGACCTCATGAAGTCTCTCCGAAGTGGCTCTTGGTCTCACTGTTTCTGTCGAGCTATTCATCCCCATGCTCAGCCGTGAGTTCTCCATTACCACCGTGAAGTCAAAGCACATATTCACTCGTCATCAAATCATTGCGCCTCCGTTGAACTACATCTCCTCTGTTGTCGTGGTTTTTATCCAAACTGGTTTTTTTACTAGCTAAAGTTTTAATGAGGGAATGCTTCATGGTTTCCAAGCTTGACCAGTCACCATAGTCAAGCTTGGTAGTAATGAAATGAAGTGCGGCGAAGTGCAATGAAGGCAATTTAAATATTAAAGAAGCTGGCGAGTTGTCCCTTTCACTCTCTCTGTCAGAGCCATTCTGTTTGTAGCTGCAAAATAGTTTATTATTGGGAAATTGCCAGAAATAACACTTTCAAGATACCACTTTTCAATTTTACACTAACCAACTTTACCATTATAATTTTAGTAGTTAAAATACTATTAGAATTTAGGGTTTTGGGTTTAGGATTGATAGTTTAGGGTTTAGTGTTGATTTTTTAGGGTTTAGGGTTTACTTTTAAGGTTTAGAATTTAGGATTTAAGTTTAGAATTGATATTTTAGGGTTTAGGGTTAATTTTTAGTGTTTAGGGTTTACTTTTTAGGGTCTAGAGTTTAGAATTGATGTTTTAGGGTTTAGGGTTAATATTTTATTTAATATTTCTTTTATATATATATATATATATAAAGAACAAGGATATAAGAGTCTTTTATCCTTTAATAAAATGTGTATTTTTTAAAATGTTCCTTTATTGATGGTAAACATGAAAAGTGGTACCACCAAAGT